TCATCATCTACCATACAGAAAATTATATAAAAAAAAATCGCAACATTTCTTACTAATGTTGACAACTTGACATTTGCTCACTAAAAATGTCATATGTTGAGTTCTAGACCTTTTTTCTAGATGATTCCTAAGCCATTGGAAATATAACATCCAAGGCTACAACTTTGATAAAGACCAAAAAGTCAAATTTGATTATCTACCATTCGTTGAGCGAACGTTTTCTCATTGAGCGAGTTGAGTTCTTTAGAGCTCCTTATTAAGCGATTGGTTTCTAACTAAGCTCTCTGGAGCTCTTCGTTGAGCGACCAAAACTCACCACTGAGCAAAAATATGAAGATTGGGTTAGTATTATTCCTCTGTGCATGAATGCTAAGCAACCATAAACTTCTAGTTGAGTAAGAATGCAATGTTCCTCCATGGAAATCACCTTTTCTTAACAAATCTAGCTACCCCCATCAAATGCAACACAAGCAATCCATAGTTTCTTTTTCTTCACACCTCATACAACTCAAAACACCTTAAGATTATCAACCCATCTTCATCTTTCGATAACCTCGAAAACTCAACAACATAAAATTCATACATTTCCAACTCAATGCCACTTATGGGCCAAACCACACAAAATTCAACACATGCAACACAAATAAATCAATCTACAAGTTTTCCTTACCTCAAGATCACTCTAAAAAAGAGGAAGAAGGAAGAAAATGAGTTCTAAGCTCTCTCTTTGAGCAACTCCACACAATACTTCGAAAGTTTTGATTATCAACTTTTTGAGCTTTGAAACACCAAACTGCTACTCAACTTGAATCTTCACACTCTCGGGAAGGCTAGGAAAAGAAAGAAGAAATTTAGGAACTAAAGTACTTTTCTCTAACTTTTCTATGATTTTTATGAAGAAATAAACTTATAAAATTCACTTATAAATAAAAATCTTATATACTTTTACCTTACAGATCAAACTTGAACTTTGTCCAAAAAACTTCTAACAACTAAAATTTCTCAAGAAGCCCTCAATTCCTTAGATTCTCAACATAAAAACAACAAATCAATACAACAACATATAATTTAATAAAAACAATAATAATTAATGAAACATTTTTCCTAGTAAAAAATCATATAAGAAGGAAAATAATAGAGTAAAAATAGAATGTTTGATTTAAAAATATAACAAAACAAATAAAAATGTGAATCCAAAAGAGAAATATAAAATTAAAAATAAATTAAAAATTGATAATTAAATTAACTAGTCATTTTAATTTAATTTAATCAATTAAATAAAAAAAAAATTCATGTACAAAATGTTGATAATCAATTGTGAATATCATTTATAGTAATATAATTTTTTTCTAGCTGTGATGTTGGTTGAACAATACAATACTATTTTTCCCTTTTTACTTCACTTTCTTACAATATTTTATTCCTTTTTAATTTTTTTGGTTTACCGTGTATGCCGGTTTTACTGTCCTACTGTATAAAAACAAATGACAATTTGCTGTATATTGTGCAATTGTTGTGCTGACCTGCGAAAGAATGAATGATGTGAAATTCAATTTTTTTTCTTCTATCAAATATAATCATTTTCTTTTCGCTCTATTCCTTTTTTTTTTTCTTCATAAAATTATCAAACGAAGTAACCGAATTAAAGGTTAATATATATGAATTAAAAATATTTACTAATATTTGAATTAAAACATTTTTATAATGAAAAGACATATTTTTATTGATAAAATGATATTATTTACATATTAAATATGCCTTTTCTTTTTTACTATGGAAATAGTGATTATGAATATGCATATAATGTGAATATTTATCTTATTTAATTTATTTCATATTCAAAATTAAGATCTATACTTTAAATAACTTAGAGCATGTGTTGGTAAATATTTAGAAAGATTTTTAAGTATTTTTTATTAAAAATATCGTCTATTTTTGGGTAGAAAAACTCTCAACAATCTCATTAGACTGTATTAGTTAAAAAAAATACAAGCTATTACCATTTTATATCCACCATGATAAAAATAATCAAATACACCTAATAGGTTAATATTCAACATAAGTATTTTGAAAAGGACACAAGCAAAGGATTTTTGAAAAGTGTCCACACCCTCATAAGCAGCGTGCCAAGAAGCTATAACAAATCTGCAAAGAGTATGCATAATATATTGACAAATTCAATGATCAATATAATTGAAGGAGATCGAAACGAATACACTTGGAAATAATCTTGATTTGACAATTGGATTGTTTCTGCAACGTTTAAATTTAGCCATCAAAACAAATCAAAAAAATTCAACCATCAAAAAGTTAGAATGCATCGTAAACGACTATGGAATATGGATCACATTTGACAGTTCAATCCAACTCTTTTTTCTTCTAGATATTTGACATGATACGATTACAAGTATGTTTAATTCTTTGGGTTAGGTCTAATTTTAAAATTAATTTACATTAGCTGAAATTGTCCGATAAATATATGAATGCATTCTAATAGTTTAACTTCTTTTGCATGCGCCTTTCAAATCTGGTGATAGATGACAATAAATAATAGCTTTTTTCACAAATCACCGAAATAATTAAGTGGTTTTTTATAGATTAATCTCTCGAAATAAAATAAAATAAAAATGTGTACTCGAGACTGTGATATATTTCCTAAAAAATATTTTGATCAGAGAATGATATACCACTCTTGGTTGGTATATTTCTGAGAGGAGCCTTGCACGGTTCGTCGATATTTGGATAATACATTATTCATGGTCCGAGACAGAGTTGCTGGTTTATATCTGACATGAACATCTCGATGATATATATTGACATGTCAATATCTTATTCTTAGGGATTATCTTCATAAGTGCTTAGATCAAGTGCAAAAATATGAAGATTACCACTGAGATTTTAGGGGATTATGTTTGAAATCTTGATATTTGAGTATGTGAGTTACTTGAGTATAAAACCTAACCTTAGGATTAAGTCACGCTAGGTTATACATTTTGAATGTTCTAAATTTAGACAATTATTTTAGAAAATGTCCTTTATATTGAAACGCATGCCTACAAACCTAAAAATTAAACCATTGACATGGTTACGTGGTCAACAATACTACATTATATTAGTGAGTGTCATTCTTGAATAACTATACAATCTGCAACTTAATAGTTATGGCAAAAGTTGCAAGTCTTTCCAACATTTTCTAGTTCAATAACCATAAGGAAGATGAAGGAAGAAAATATGAGAAATTAACCATGTTGATTTGAATTTAATATCTACTTGTTTAAGATTTTAATATATATTATTATTGATGTAAAGTATTCATTGATGTTATCAATGACTAATCCTTGTTAGCAAATCTGATTAATTATCCTACTATATCTTATTTAAAGGGATCAAAAATTAGTTTCACTCATATCAACAACTTGTTCATTTTTTTTACACCAACAACTTGTTCATTTTTTTTACACCAACAACTTGTTCATTTTTAAGAATTTAATTTCAAATCAACTTAACTAGCTCATCTAGATTTTATATTTAATTTTGAGAGTAATGCATTAAATTAATTCTTGAAATGATAAATATTGATAGGTTTAGTTTTAAAATTATAAAATATCAATCTAATTCTCTAAAATAATAAAATTCAATCATTTTAATTTTCATTTTGTTGTAATTTTAATGATTAAAATAATTATTATTTAGTATTACTAGAAATTAAAATATCTACTATTTAATGATATTAGGAACATAACCATCACTTAATAATTTTAGAAAATGACATATTTGTAATTTTATTAACTAAATTATTTGATATTCAAAATTTGGTGTATTGTTCCAATTCTAAAGATAGGGAACTCTTTCGTCCCCGGAACCCGACCCACGTGAATCCGACCAGAAATTATTGATGTTTCTACAACTTTTGTTTTCTCCTCATTGGGTCATGTTTCTTAAAGACATATTGCGAGACAATTTGCATTACTAAATGAATGTAGTCTTGCTTGTAATACACATTTGACATTTCTCTATTTCGACTTTTAAAACCTTTTTCACCATTCACGAAATTGAAAAATAATAAATAATATTCAGTGTTGTTCTAATTCCCCATCAAACGCTACTGAAATACTACTATAAATAATGAAATGGTGAATAGAAATCTATCAAGGTCTAATCATTTTAAATATTATTTGCGATAAAAAGGAAAGTCCATTAAAGAAAGTGTCAGTTCTGATGCCAAATAATGTGAATTTTCTTAACATCATCACAGTTAGGATCAAGTTTTTCCTTCTTTACCGTATAGGCAATCCAAAATAAAATCACGTCATTGGTTGTTATCATTTTGTTAGTGAAATTAGCGAGGTTATAATCATTAACACTATGAATTCATTCTAATATAATAAACTCAGTGTTATTTTTGTATGGAAAACACTGAAAAGTGTCCAAGGAATCACAGAAAGTAAAAATCTTTTATTCAGAAGTGTAATAGCACTCGTGTAAATTTAATTAGTTTTCAATAAAAAAAAAATATGTTAACTTTTTAACCAGTGTTTTAAGAACTCATGGAGTAAAAAAAAAAACACTAATTAACACGGCCTGTTTTTGAATGTCATTTTTTTTTATAGAAATGATACCTAAACATTCTTTAATATAATTCGTTGAACACACTCATGTTATTAAAATTTAATAGAAATCACAATGTTTTATAATCCACTTCTACAAATTATGTATAGGCTAATTTTAACTTAAAGAAAAACTTTTTTCATTTATCTCTTTTCCCCTTCAAGTATTAATGTTATGTGTCTAAGTAAATCTCAACCATTGCTATCTTCCTAATTAGTGATCCAAGTGATGTTTAAGAAGCCCCACAAGGATATAATAAATTAAAATCTGATTTTCAACTTAAAAAGGAATTTTATTTTTCAGATATTTTAGATGTTTCGATTTCACAACCTCTGGTAATTTCAGTTCAGTTGCATACTATTAATCTGCTAATCGTTTCAAGAATTAGTCAGTTCACGAATTCACCATACCTCGTATTAACCGCCAGCCATTCATGATTCATTCCATGCCAAAAAAATTAGGCAGACAATTAATTACATATATACATTTTAATACATCAATAATCATAACAAAGCGTTGAAAAAAACCAAAAACTAGTTGCATCAGCATCAGCATCAGCACCACAATATTTGGGCACCAAAATTCATGCAAGAATCTCCGAACTAGGGAGAGAAGAGAAGAAAAAGCTATGTCATGGTCTATAAGGCTGGAGATGTGGTGCAGGGGCACGTATGACACCGCCAGCTTGAAGATTTGCTACTGGCAATGAGATGTTGCTGATAATCGGCAATCTTGTAGAAGCACTGGTGAAATTTCCTGAAGTACTGTAACCAGACCGTATAGGTGGTACCATATGCTGAGGGTTGCCCATTGTGGTGGGCCCACAGGAAGATGGACCAGCAACCGGGGAGGGTAACCTAGCACTCTGTTGCCTTGAAGGCCGCTGTGCGGAACTTGAATCTGGCATTAAAATAGTGGTTAGGAAAGACTCAAAAACTCAATACCCAGTGCTGCAATGGAAGAATCCAGTTAGGTATATGTAAGTCTGCTAATGAGTAGAATACATAAACAATGCACATAAACTTGTCACCTTTTCCCGACATTAAAATAATCCAGACAAAAAAAAAAACTGCAGATACAATCATCATATAGCATTCATTAGCTTCATACTGACGTTTTTTTTCTTTAAAAAATTACATAACTATAGTTTAGCTAGCCTATGAAAAATGAAAACAGCAGGTGCCAACACCAAATGAAGGAAAACCCTGCCCCCGCCTGTACTGCAGTGGCAGTGGTCCATCCAAATTATTTTGTGCAGATTTTTTTCTGTTTTGTGGGCAGGCGGTGGATGAAGGTTTAATATTGGCCTACACAAAGAGGAGGATAAATAACAACTCTGCAAAATCTGCACAGCATTGGCCAACTCAGGCTTGGGTTAAAATTTGATCAGTCAAGAGAATAGTAGTTGGCAAGGAAAACCACTATAACTATCAGAAACATCGGGGGAGTGGAACTGAAGTGAGATTAGATTTTCTTAACACAACTCAGGGCAATAAAAGAAATATTAAATTTTAAGAGTTGAGCATACCTTGCAGCATTGCAGATGTACAAGATGCTTTAAGAGTTGAGCATTTAGATCTAAAAGCATCTGCCAATAAACTATTCATCTGAACTACATTAAGACTTGTATCCAGTGTCGTCTTTGTTTGTTTAAATTCAACTTCAATTCCTTGAAATTTAGTATCATACTTCCTGCGGAGTCCCTCTAATTCCTTTTCAAAATCAGTTTTCAACCGCAATTTCTGCACCAGCCGGAATAATATTATAGTAATCACAAAAGATGAAACCTAAAAATCATTTCAGCAATGAAATATAAGTAAAACAGAAACTAACCATATCTTCATAGTATTTCATTGTTTGTTCTGTCATGTTTCGAATTCTATCCAATTCATTTTTGAGAGGATCATAGCTCAAATGTGGCTGCATTCTGGAAGCTGAATGAATTTCTGCTTGCATGTGTTGACAATTGATAGCCAAAGGAGTTGACAAATTTATAGTGTCTGAAGATTGTGTTCTTACTTCACTAGGTGTAACAATATCAGGGTCAGGATTTGTGGCAGCGTGCACAACAACTTCATGTGAATGAGAATCAAGTACCAAATTTGAGTCAGGTTGCTCATCTTGATTTGGAACCACAATTGGCTGATGTTCAACTTCAGTTACCAACGGAAAATTAGTTGAATTCAGATGGGAAGGGAGCTCTGCAGATGGTAACTGTTGCACCTGCTCTAAAGGCTTCTCGATCAGTGAAACCTTATTGGATTGCTTGGCTGGTACAACATCAACTGCACTAGATATCAGTTCATGTTGTTCGGAAGAATGCTGCATTTCCCCATGGTCAGGAGAGATCTCTACAGATAATTGCTGCACATGTTCTGGAGGATTCGTCACATTAAATGATCTAGATACTGGAGTCTCCTGGGACAATTCTGTCATGGTTTTAGGTGTTCCTTCCAGCTGGTCTGATGGAGTCATTTTATCCACCAAAGGGACTCCATTAGCAGTTTGTTGCTCCAAAACTGGATTTGAAATCGAAATTGTACCATCAATTGAACTATCAGCTTGACAAGCCCTCGGAGATAAAACTCTATCTAAATCTGGGACATCTAGTGGACAATCAGTAAAATTGACCATACCAGGTGTTTCCACAGGTACCTCTCTGTTTAATAAAGAGTCAGTGCCCACTTCATTACTAGTTTCTTGCACCTCAACTGGAATATAGCCATCAAGTATGCTTGATGGGACACCATCAAGCCGTGGACTCGAAAGGATATTGTTATCTGGACAATTACTCAGTCTCAATTCTTTATCTGAAAATTCATTTACTTTCCCTCCATCGGATTTTTGCTCCACGGATGAAGGCTGCACAGCAGTACAACTTACTAGACGATCAACATTGACAACCCCATGCAGTCTCAAAAGTTCCTCTCTATCCAACAAACTTAATGTCGCCCTGTTCGCAAGTCTTTTATCAGATAAAGGTGAATTATCAGTGACAGTCTCTGCCATGGCTTCAACCCTATCATCACGATGCTTTCCTTCTGCAAAATGATTCTTTAGTACATTCTGAGGCTGTACTTGATCACAAGTCTGCAAGGATTCAACCCCAGTCCCATGTTCCTTTGAATCAGCTATGTTTGACAATTCATTTTGTGCCCAAGATTTCACATCATCTACCCAAATGGCCTCCCTATCTTGAAACTTCCTTAATTCAGCTAATTGCTTGTCCTCAAGATCCCTCAGACATGTTTCATGGTGGTATTTTAGTTCTTCAATTCCCTTTCCATATTCAATATTTAAAAGCCTCAGTCTTTCCATTCTCATAACATCATTGGGAGAGCAGGATCGAATAACAGCAGACTGTATTTTGTAACTTCCCTCAAATTTAGCCTTTTCTTCCTCAATAACTGCTCTCAACCTTTGTTTCTCTTCCTCTTGTGAAAGTTGTAGTTTCTTCAGATACTTTTCGCACTTCTTCCGAATTTCTTTAATACTTCTGGACATATCTTTTTTGAACAATTCAACCTCCCGTGCTACTCTTGGACAGGAATAAGGCCTGTTCAATGGTTCAGAAACTTTTGGAGAACCAGTATCATTATAATTTCCTGTACGATACAAAAATATTTTCTTCAGACAACGCAACATAGAATAAATGTAGTCCACCTCTTCTTTCTTACACTTAAAGTTCAAATCTCGTTCTGCATCCTCAATAGAAGTCTTGTGGTCAAGTTTGTGCTTTAACAAAGAAGCTACAGTCCAACACTGAAATTTGCACAATAAAAGAACAACCGTATCGGTTAATACATACTGAACACAATTAGGCAAATACATGCATTTATGAGGAGGGAAACAGAAGCCCTGCAAACAAATTCACAAGACTACTTCACATACTGATAACTATAAGGCTTAAATATGTTTTTAGTCCCAACAAATAAGGTCAATTTATTTTTGGTTCCTCAAATTTAAAATTGATTGTTTTAGACATTGTAATTTGGTCCTTTTGTTCGAGAGAAGCAATTAGCAAATCTACAAGACAAAATTAACCAATTGCTAAACTTGGCATACAAACCTACCAACTAGTACCATTGGCAGCAAAAACATTATGCTAAACTTAGCTGATGCTGCATAGTTGAGGTTATCAATACCCTACTTTTTCAAATGTTCATTCCTAATGAGAATGTATAGTAGAAGTGGTCCTAACCATGGTTGTCAAACTCACGAGTTAACTCAGAGAATCGTACGAGTTTACGAATCCAGGGTAGGAAAACTGGTTAACTCGCTTCTGGAATTGTTTTTTGGTAGACTCAAGCAGACTTGGCAGGACTTGGGTAGAATCGCTCAAAATCGCGAGTCTATGGGCGAGTCCACGAGTCAGCTTCAGGTTAATTTTTCCCCCCTAAATGCCCAAAACGACGTCGTTTCAAAGAGGGTTTCTAGCCTCCTCTTTATTTTCTTCGACCTCTCACTTTCTGCATACGAAAACCACACTCTCCCTCCCTCCACATTTTCCGATCTGCCTCTGTTCGAGCTCCCACAACAACTTCGGGCTTCATTCTGTCGTCCGACGCCGTCCTTGCAGCTTCCGGCATTGTCCCTGCAATTTTCGACGAGCTGTTCGTCCACATGTTTTCCTGCTCATCCAGCATCGTTCATTCACCTTTGCCAGGTTGAGAACACACTCGTTGGAAAGGTGCTTCATTTCCTTTGTGTTTACTCCTTCATCCATGCTATTGCTATTGTGTTTATGCTATTTTATTCAAACTTTTTCCATCCCTTCTGTTCCGATTTATAGGTGCTGCTGATTGTGTTATTTTAATATCTTTTAATATTAGGTAGACTCTTACGAGTCTATGAGTCGATTCTATAGAAGCTCCACGAGTTTGCGTAGGCTCTCAAGTTTGACAACCTTGGTTTGAGCCCATAAAGAGACCGATGCAATTTACAAACTAATTCACACTCCCCTTGAGCAACGATTCCAAAAGGTTGCTCCATGTAGATCTCTTCCTCTGAAATACCATGTAGAAAGGCATTTTTAATGTCTAACTAATCGAGGGGCCAATGACGAATGACAGCCATAGCAAGAAACAACCGAACAATAGTGATTTTGGCCAAGGGGAAAAAGGTATCACAATAATCAAGCCCATATATTTGAGTATATCCTTTAGCCACCAATCAGGCCTTAAGACGATCAAGTTCACCATTAGGCCCAACTTTAATGGCATAGACCGATTTGCAGCAAACATTCTTCTTCCCAAGTGGAAGAGGTACTACATCTCAAGAACCATGGCTTGTCTCCATTTAGGATGAGATAGTGCTTCATTGATATTTTCAGGAATGGTAATGGAAGACCAAGATGAAACAAATGAACAATATGAAGGAGAAACCCATGATATCTCAAAAAACAAGGATGGGGATTTCAAGCATGGTAGTTGAATCGAGATACACATAATGTATCGGAAAGCTTATTTTTTGAATCGTGAATCGAATCGTATCGTGAATCGTAAGATTCATGATCAATAAAAACATAGTGTATATATATGCATACAAGACATATAAAAGCACTCTAAGCACATTTTAATATAAAGAAACAGACAAAATGAAGTCATACATAAATATATAGTAATATATAAGCTTCAAAATACAAACAAAGATAGAATTATACAAATAATAACAGTCTCAAAGCCAAAAGAAATGACTGTACAGTTCAACAACAAAGCCTCCAAAAAAATCATTGTTGTTGCTAAATATATACATATACAAGGGACTGTTTGCTACTCTAATCAGCAATATAGCCACCCAAAAAAAATATTAGTGTTGTTGCTGCATAAACTCAGCAACAAGTGGACCACTAACACGAAGAACAGCAACCCAAACAGCCATCCAAACGAAGCTGCGAACCTGGACGAGACAAAGGGACCACTAAAAGTGAAACCCACTAAGTGGGTCATGTACAGGAATGGGTATCGGCATTTTCTGTCTCAGTTTCGTCTTTTTTTATTTAAAAAAAATCATTTTTTTAGGGTTTTCAGAACCGGGTCGCGCATGACCCGACTCGGTTTCGGACGCGACCCGTTTCTTCCCAGAATCGTGCGAGACATTCCAGAATCGCGATTTTCCGATTCTAAACCCGATACAAACGATTCGGAAACGATTCAGGATCAAAAACGATACACCATGCGATTCGAATCGCTGAAGCACGGAATCGTATCGTATCGTACGATACGAATCGCGATTCCTACGATACTTACTACCATGATTTCAAGTAGATTGAATGCCTTTCCAAAGTGCAAATGGCCAACTAGAATCTTTATGTGTTGGAACTATTGTAGGGCCAACTGAAGGTGAAGGACATGAAGCAAATGGCTTGCCTTGTGATGTTATACCAACTCTTTGAGATCTTCATTGGTAAGTAATGAGAGGTGGTGGAGATGACCCAGGTGGACTAGTAGTTGGAGGATGACTTGGATCTATGTCTTGGTTAAGAGACTCTTGAGAGGGATTGAGTGTGGAATTTATTTTGAAAAGAGGAGGATGGCAATCTATTTATTAGAAAACAAGCAGTAAGAATTGCATCACCCCAATGATGCATGAGAACATTGACACCCAGCAATAAGGTATCCACAATCTCAACTAGATGTTTATTTTTTTCTTTCTACTATATCATTTTGTTGTGGGGTGAGGAAGGGTAGATTGATGTAAAATACCAAGTGAGTTTAGAAAAAAGATGAAGTCTAAAGAAAAATATTTTTTAGCATTATCACTCCTGAGAATTTTGATTTTTTTTCCAAACTGATTCTTAATTTCATTAAAAAAGGACACAAATAGGAAAAATTTTAGATCGATCTTTCATTAAATAGACCTAAATACATTGAGAATATTCATCAATAAATGTAACAAAGTATCTAAACCCAAAAGATGTGACATGACTTGGACTCCAAATATCCGAGTGAATGGTGGAAAAAACATAATTACATCTTGTTTCAATTCTCTTTGGAAAATAAGATCTAACATGTTTTCCTAATTGACAAGACTCAAACTATAAGACTTGAAGTTTACCAAGTCCAGGAACCATTTTCTTCAATTTTGACAAGTGTAGATGACTCAGGCAATCATGTAAAAGTTTACAAGACTGAGATGTAAGACAAGATACACAATTCCAAGATTAACAAATTAGTCATATACCACAAAATGTTATTGCAGGAGAGGAAAAATAAGCCAAGATTGTTAACTCACAAAACATATATCCCAGACTATAAAAACAACCAATTTTCTTAAAAAAAAATAATAATAAAACCTATGCCCAACAGCAAAGGATAAGGGCAACAAAGGAGGGAACAAGAATGAAATAGAAAAAAAATCAAGAAAATATTCTGACCAGGGATATTTGAAAAGCCTGCAATATTTGCAATGGTTCCCTATTGACATGGTGATTGTTCATAACATATTCAAGAAAATTATAGATCATGCTCTTGACGTTATCCTGCATTACACAAAGACATCACCAGAATAACAATTCAGATTAGGTCAGATTTATGGCAAATCAATCCTTGGTGAAATGCAGGGTTGAATTTTAAGAATTCATGGAAAAATTAATTTTCTGAGTCAAAATCACAAGGATACAAAATCTACTGGAAGATGAAACATAACAAAGAAAAAACATGTCGCATACAGGAAGATGAAAAATGTGACAAAGCTTTGTGATCTCTGGCTTCAGCAAAAGATGTAAACTCCTCTGCTCATCATGTTGTCTACTTTTTTGCTCAGATTCAATATTATTTCCTTGAGATCTATCTGACATTTGATCAAGCAAACAGATTGAGTAAGGACAAAAAATAACATGGAATGGATTGGCAACACAAGTAATTGAACTAAGCAAGAATTGATAGACATTACCCACTAAATCTTCGGATGTTCCTGCAAAAGTATGTAACAGTTTCCAAAGTTATAATAATTCTTACTACTTGTCAACTTCATTGAACAATGAAAGGCTGTAATAAAATAAAAGTAACAAATGTGACCACTAACCTGCCTTGATTCCAGTGGATAACTTTTCACTCTCAGCTTTTGAAGACTGATCCAATATATTGTTGCTCACTTTCCTGCGCTTCTTTGCTGCTGCTCCTTCACTTAAGAGATCAGGCCCTCTGACTGAACCGTCAAAATGACAAACTTTCTTCCTGCTCCGTTGACATGAACTATTTAAGTACTTCCACCGAAACTGTTTTCCCTCCAAAAGTTTTGCCCAAAAAAATCGGGGTGACTCTTCATCCAGTACCCTAAATTTCAGCTCGCCATGCAGAGAAAAAATTGCTGAGTACGTTGACCCATTTTGCTGTACTTTCAATAAATTTGAACAGTTGCTTGACTCAATATGTCCTCCAGCCCGAGATAGTATGGATGAGAATTCATGCATTACTTCTTTCAAAAGTGATTGTCCAAACAAGGATTTCACATTTGATGAAGAAGTTTCACCATCATGAAAAACTTTCAGTTCATCAAATAGACAAGAAGCACCCCACATCAACAGCATATGACTGGTACTCCAGTTTATATTTTGAAAATGGATGTCAAGTGTCTTATATTGCTTAGCAAGGATTAAGGCTTTTTCTTCAACTGTGAAAGATGAGTATAAACGGAATATTTTTATCAATTCAAACGGTGAATCAAGTTTTATTTTCTGAAGGGATCTTATATCATTCATTGGGTTCCAATCACTATCAAATATAATAATTGTGTCAACTGATGACAATTTAATGCTTGGAAGGCAAGCACTTGTTTCCAACAAAATGACAAAACGCCTGTTGTTCTTATCGTTAAATTTCTTCATCACGGCTTGCTTCTGGGAAGCTGAAAGACATTTATCAATCCTTTCATATGAATCTGAACCAAATCTTTGTAGCAGTAGATCATCCAAATAATCTCCTATTGAAATCTTTCCATAACCTCCAATAGACTGTAAATTCAGTAATAAATTAACACGACTCAATGAACTACCTTCCCTCAAGTGAATGATGACATATAAGAGAAAAAGGGACATCATAGTCTCATTTACTAACATGCACACATGCAAGGGAGAAAATTAAAGGAAACAGCTAAAACAGACCTAACCAGAAGAAAAAAAATGACCTCCAAGCCTTAGTGAGATCATTCAATAAAATCTTGTTAACAAACTTATCTAATAGCCCTTACTCATACAATCCAAAAACAACTTTAATAACTAAAGAAAACAGATGAAAAATTGACCAATTGAAAATTATGAACATACCAAAATATAATATATATATATATATATATATAATATTATATATATATATAAATCACCATATATCACTCTATCTCTAATCAGAGAATGATAATGTGTTGAGATATTATGGAAATATTGTCAAGATGTTTGGTATAATCAGGGTGTATTAAACATTTGTTTATTAGAGAAATTCAGCTCTCTTTCCATTATTTCCCTAGAATGATTGATTCTAATTCTTGGTTCTAACACCTAAATTTATAGATTGATTCTCTCGTACTTGTATATAAATGTCATTGTTATCCATAAAGTTATGTCTAGCATCATTCTTTGGTCTCAACTTGCTATCAAGAGCAACAATTAGAATCTTTTCTTCCTTTCGCAATCATGGACACTCATGGTCCAATTCATTGGGCTACACTGACTCAACCACTAGCCCACTCTCAATAGCTCTCCACTGTCCAAGGCAATGCCTCCATCAATAACTTAAGCCACCGACAAGGCACCCCACCAAGCTCTACCACCAAATTCAGCTTAATATGTCCATATGTGCACCCCACCACCTTCTTGACATCATCCAACCTTGCTACTAGTCTTGTTTTGGTCACCAGTGTGTCCTTTTTCTATTCTTGTTCCACCTGCCACCCATGGTTTCCATATCAACATCCTAAACTCCAATTATCACTATTGGATATGTCTCTGTATTTTTTTTTTAAAAAAATTATCTTTCTCAACCTCTTGTTCACAATTTTTTATTCAGTTTTTCCCTCTTATTTTTTAATTCAGTTTTGTCACCATCTTTCTTTACTTGCCCTTATCTGTTCCGTTTTTTCCTTTAATTCTGTTTAGTATCAATATCATTTTCCATTTTCTATTGATCCATATTTTAACTCCCAATCGCTTTTATTCCTTAAATCTAGGACAATGGCAAGTCAAAACCAAACTTGATGACTACAAAAGGATGATCAATTTGCCTATCACCTTACTCCATTACTCGATGATCAATTTGCCCTAAAAAAGCTTGGGAATTTAGATATTACATTACTTTATCAAAATTGAATTTCGTCATATGAAGGATGGCTTGTTACTTTTCCCAGTCTATTAGAGAAGAGAATATAGGATAATAAATACTTTTATTTGCTGTCTTATTTACGTGTATCCAAATATATTTTCTGATTGTATTTTGCTATTATCTTTAGGTTAGTTATTGTTGTTGACTAACTAACTCTTGAGTTAGTTAAGTCCGTTAGGTTTATATATGTAGATAATACCTCTCTTGTATTATCTTTTTCAATCAATGCAATTCCTTTTCTCATATGGTATCATCGTGAGCACGGTTCGTTCCGTTTCTCAACCCACCTCTCCGTCGTATCCTGCTAATTGCTCGCGCCTCTGTTGCTGCGCGAAATCTCCTCGCTGTTGTTGCTCGCGCGTTTTTCGCCGCGCCTTGTCGCTGATCTTGCTTCGTTGATCTTGCTATTCTTGCTCGCGCGTTTCATCGCGCCTCGTCGCTGTTCTTGCTCGCGCGTTTTGTTTCGTCGCGCCTCGACGCTGATCTTGCTTGCGCGTTCGGTCCTGTTTTTGTCATTCGTTCACACTCTCTTCATCGTGTGACTTCTTCCATCTTGTCGTCTCTTGCCTCCGTGATTCAATGGCTTCCGCTTCCTCTGACCATTCCGCGTCACACACTTTTTCCCAATCTGTTACATGCAAATTGGATGACAAAAATTTCATGACCTGGCAACAACAGGTCACTGCTGTGATCCGCGCTCATGACCTCGAACGTTTCGTGGTTAATCCAAAAATTCCACTCAAATTCTTGACTGCTGAAGATCGTGACTCCAACAATGTCAATCCTGAGTATACTGTTTGGGACCGCAAGGATTCGCTACTCTTTTCTTGGCTGCTTTCAACCCTCTCTGAATCTATACAGGCTCGTGTCGTCTCCTGTCGGCACTCCTATCAGATTTGGGATCTTGTTTTCCAACATTTCCACTCGCTCACCAAGGTTAAAGCTGCTCAACTGCGTCTTGAACTCCGCACCATCAAGAAAGGGACACGTTCATGCTCCGAGTACTTACTCCGCATTAGCACCATTATTGAAATGCTGGCTTCGATTGGCAGTCCTGTTTCACCTCGTGAGCATGCTGAATGCATCATTGGTGGTTTGCCACCCGAATACGACTCGCTCATCTCCACTGTCACTGCCTTTGCTAGCAGGGATGACACATTTTCCCCTGCAGAACTTGAGCACGTAATTCTTGCTCAAGAGGCTCGACTTGATCAAACCAAAATCGCCACTCTCCAAGAACCTGTAACAATCAATCTTGCTCAGCCTGTCCCTGTTCCTCAAGTGACTCAGAACGCTAATTTTTCCTTTCAACAATCTCATCTCGCTCACACTCAGCCTAACACGCTTCAGAATTTTCCTAATCAGAACCACGATGGTGGTCGTGGTGGTCGTGGTCGTCGTGGTGGCAGGAATCGTGGTGCCTCGGTTCAATGTCAAATCTGTCATAAACGTGGTCATGAAGCCTCCACGTGTTATCAACGCTTCACTCCAATGCTTGCTCCCTACCCTACCTTTGGCTTTGGGTCTGTCTATCCTCCTCACACTGGCACTGTTCCACAGTTTGGCACCGCAAACATGCTTGGCCTCTCTGGTCAACCTTCGTGGCCGCCCCCCACCATCGGTGGATCCTTTGGGTCTATTCCCTCTGGCTACTATCCTTCACCGCCTGGATTCCATCTTCTCACGTCACAACCTAGTTCCACTTCCTCTGCTCCAAATGCGGCGCCTACCCTAAACACTGCCACAGTTTGGATTCCAGACTCTGGCGCATCTCATCATGCCACTCCAGATCCTCAACATCTCTTTCAAAGTGCCCAGTTTACAGGAACCGAGCACATTGCTATGGCCAATGGCCAAGGTACATCTATAGCTTCAATTGGTTCTAATGTGTTTAGGTCCCCCATTCATCCCTCCACTGTTTTCTGCCTGAAAGACTTATTACTTGTTCCTACTTTAACAAAAAATCTAATCAGTGTATCTAAGTTTGCCAAAGATAATAATGTCTACTTTGTATTCTATCCTCATTCATGCTTTGTCAAATCACATGATTTGAACGAGACTCTTCTTGAGGGCAAGCTTGGTGAAGATGGTCTCTATCATTTTCAGCCAATTCTTGAAACGAATAAATCCCACTCTGGCAACATACCCAAACACTTTACTAATTCTGCACCTTGTATTTTTCTTTCTGAACAATGTAAAAATGGTGTTTCTCATACTTACAAACAATGGCATTTACGGTTAGGGCATCCTCATCATGATGCACTAATCAAAGCTCTACATTTGTGTAATATTCGGATTCCTCATATTAATAAAATTTCCAACTTTTGTGATTCGTGTTGTGTGGCCAAATCTCATAAACTTCCCTCTAAATCCTCTACCACCGTTTATTCTAAACCTCTTGAACTCGTTTTTCTTGATGTTTGGGGACCTGCATCATTAGATTCCAGTTGTGGTTATTTGTACTTTTTAACGTGTGTTGATGCTTGCACTAGATATGTTTGGATTTATCTGCTTCATCGGAAGTCCGATGTTTACACTCACTTTCTGAATTTCAAAGCCCTTGCTGAGAAACAATTTCAAACTCCACTTAAGGCGGTTCAAACTGATGGTGGTGGTGAGTTTCGTCCGTTAGTTCCGTTTTTGCAACAAGAAGGCATACTGCATCGACTGACCTGTCCGTACACTCATCATCAAAATGGCATGGTTGAAAGGCGCCATCGTCATATTGTTGAACTTGGCTTGGCCATGCTTCATCATGCTTCGTTACCCCTCAAGTTCTGGGATCATGCATTTCTGACCGCTGTGTACCTCATTAATCGACTTCCCTCTTCGTCTATTGATCACAACTCACCCTACAAACTCATCCATCACAAAGACCCTGACTATCAGTTTCTAAAAATCTTTGGCTGCTCCTGTTTTCCTCTACTCAGACCCTACAACCAGCACAAAATTCAACCTCGGTCAGAGGAGTGTCTCTTCTTAGGTTACTCTCCTACTCACAAAGGCTACAAATGCCTAAGCAAGTCTGGCCGTATCTACATCAGCAAAGATGTAGTGTTTAATGAAGACAGATTCCCCTACAATGACCTCTTTGTTTCCCAATCTACCTCATCTGATCCTTGCACTTCTGTCTCCACCATTCCGTCTCTTATCAACCCGTCTCAACCCACTCTACCTGAGAGCTCTGCTTCATCTGGTGATGGTCTCCCATACACTCAGTCTGCTGACCCTCAACTTCCTTCACCTATCACATCACACAGCTCCTCCTCTACCTCTACTGCCTTGACTGAAGCTTCAGAACCAGCCAGACCACTTAATGTTCATCCAATGCTTACACGCTCCAAAAATGGAATTGTTCAACCCAGACGAAATCCCACACTTCTTCTGTCGCATGTTGTGCCTAAAACAGTCAAAACTGCTTTGGCTGATCCTAATTGGCGTGCTGCCATGCAAGCTGAAATTACAGCCTTACACACCAACAACACCTGGAGCCTAACTACCCTACCTAGTGGCAGAAAACCCATTGGGTGCAAATGGGTTTTTCGTGTCAAGGAAAATCCTGATGGTTCTATCAATAAATATAAGGCCCGGTTGGTTGCCAAAGGTTTCCATCAACTACCTGGTCTGGACTTTTCTGAAACCTTCTCTCCTGTTGTAAAACCAGTTACCATTCGTACTGTTCTCTCTCTTGCTGTATCCTTTCAGTGGTCTCTTCGACAACTTGACATTAATAATGCCTTCCTCAATGGCATGCTTGAGGAAGACATCTACATGTCTCAGCCTCCTGGTTTTACAGATTCTGCCAATAAAAATCTTGTCTGTAAATTGCACAAATCTCTTTATGGACTGAAACAGGCTCCTCGAGCCTGGTTTGACAAACTTACGTCTGTTTTACTCAAGCTTGGTTTCAACAAAAGCAAGTGTGATCCCAGTTTGTTCATCTTCTCCACCTCTACTGTCACTATTTTCATGCTTGTCTATGTAGACGACATCATTCTCACTGGAAATTCTCCATCCATGCTGCAAAAATTTGTTACCCAACTCAACGATATTTTTTCTCTCAAAGATCTTGGTGCTTTGGACTACTTCTTAGGTATTGAAGTCAAGTCTCTCTCTCAGGGAAAATTGCTCCTTTCCCAGGCCAAGTATATTACTGACCTTCTTACTAAGGTCAAAATGGAAGACTCCAAAAGCATCTCCACTCCCATGATTGGCGGACAACAACTTGCTAAAGAAGGAACTCCATTTGATGATCCTACCTTGTATAGGTCTGTAGTTGGTGCATTGCAGTATGCTACAATTACAAGACCTGAAATTGCCTTCAGTGTTAATAAGGTAAGCCAGTTCATGTGCTCTCCCATGGAAGAGCATTGGAAAGTTGTCAAACGAATTCTTAGATATCTCAAAGGAACTGTCGGTCATGGACTTGTGTTCTCGCCTGCAAAGCACATTGATCCCTTCAATCTCACTGCTTTCACTGATGCTGATTGGGCGTCTGATCCAAATGACCGAAGATCAACTTCAGCAGCGTGCATCTATCTTGGTCCTAATCTTGTGTCTTGGTGGTCCAAGAAACAACTACTTGTTGCCAGATCCAGCACTGAAGCTGAATATAGAGCCTTAGCTCAAGCTATAACTGAAGTTTTGTGGATTCAGTCACTGCTGAAGGAATTAAAGGTTCCTCTAAATACTCCTACTGTACTTTGTGACAATCAAAGTACTGTTGCACTCTCACACAATCTTGTTCTACACTCCAGATCCAAGCATATGGAGCTTGATATCTTTTTTGTTCGTGAAAAAGTACTCAACAAGTCCCTCAATGTTTCGCATATACCTGCCCAACATCAATTTGCAGATGTTCTGACCAAGGCCCTGTCTCCCAAGCGGTTTCTTCTTCTTCGCTCCAACCTCAATGTTGTTGATCCATCTACTTTGTTTCATCCCCCTTGAGCTTGTAGGGGGTGTATTAGAGAAGAGAATATAGGATAATAAATACTTTTGCTGTCTTATTTACGTGTATCCAAATATATTTTCTGATTGTATTTTGCTATTATCTTTAGGTTAGTTACTGTTGTTGACTAACTAACTCTTGAGTTAGTTAAGTCCGTTAGGTTTATATATGTAGATAATACCTCTCTTGTATTATCTTTTCAATCAATCTGTATTATCTTTTTCAATCAATGCAATTCCTTTTCTCATACAGTCCAAGTACACTGGTGATCTGTTTTCTAAAGCCAAAATGTTTGATGCAAAAGGGATTTCAACCCCTATGGTAGCCAATGTTAAACTTAGCAAGCATGATGCTGATTATTTCTCTAATGCTTCCTTCTATAGCTATATAGTGGGTGCTCTATAGTATGCAACTATTATTAGACCAAAAATTAGTTATGCAGTAAATAAAGCCAGTCAATTCCTCTCTCAGCCTCTTGACACTAATTGGACTGCAGTAAAGGGGTCTCTTCATCTTGGCCTTCTTCTTAGAGTCTCAGACCAGCATCATAACCCTTCTCTCGTACAGCATTCGCCGATGCTAACTGGGGTTCAGATCCAGATTACAGGAAATCCACTTTCAGGTTCCTCCCTTGAATACTCTCTAAATCGAATATTCATAATGTCTCTCCTCACTTTCAAGTTTCAACTCTATCTCTCTCTCTGTTACTTCAATTCTACAAAATTGTGAACTCAGCTTATGTTTCAATTCTCACACCTGCCACCTGGCCAAGCTCACCACATTGTTTCCAGCCAACCCCAGTATTGTCCAACAGACCCACTGCTTTGGAGCATCCATATCTCTGTTCACTCTGCTCTTCACTCACAAACCTTCATACTTTTTTCCAACTCCTTTTTGTCTCTGTTCATGTATCTAACATGTTCCATTTTTATCTATCAATGCAATCTTTTGTACTTTATTCCAATGTTCTCTTTCTCAGCCCACTAAATTATGAATGTGTCTAAATTTGAACATTTATATACATATAATATAAATTAATTATTCTATATGTATAATCATCTGCCATGCATTTTTGAGGTTGACCTCTCCTCACTGTGATTTGGGATTGATAACTATGGAGCTAAAGAAACTAATAGATGATGATGCAATGATGTATTGAGAAGAGAGTCTGCAAAACATGTACCTGAAAAAGAATGAGCACCCTTGAAGCATTTTCTCTCAACTCTTTGAGCATTGAATCAAGAAGTTGCACCTTGCCACTTGATTTTATTTCAAAATCCAGATATTCAATTGGTTCAAGACCCCTTCTAAGAGAATCTTTCAGTTTGGGATCAACAAGATAGGGAAGACTACAACACTGTCAAGAGATACCACAAGAAAACTAACGGTTAAAAAAATTAACAATCACTTGATAGCTTGAAGTAAATTTAAAAAAGTAGAGCAACAACAAATCAACTATAAAAAGTACATGTTTGTTAATCAAATTCATTTTAATTTTCAAATAGAAACACTAAATCAAGCATCATAGCATATACAGAACAAGATTTTACACTTTAAAGTAGATTCAATTTAAAATCAAATCTATTTCTCATTATTATTTAATCAAGCATGTATCCGATTGATTTTATTTGATATATGCTATAATTGAATAGTAAATATTTACTCAATAGTAAGGAATTATTAACAGTTTACCACTAAATATCTAATAATAAATGCAAATTAATTAAGATGGTGCAACCAAATATTGCAGCATAAAACATCTAGATTATAAAACTAAACCAACTTTATATTGTCTTTGATCTCATATCATGCATGCAACATATTCAAAAAGTACAACCTAACCTTTCGAATTGAAATAAGAACATCTCGAACAGCCTCCCCACTATCAACCTTTGATGATGAGCGAAGAATTGAAGCATTGGAAAGTAAAATATCACAATACTGCTCGAGCTGCACATTAGATATTTGTACAGGAACCCAATACTCAACAAACCTAAAGGAGTCAGACTTGCATCCTTGTGCAGTATGACTTGACAACCTCTCCTTCGGTTGAATATCAGAATTATTTATTAAACTGGCTTCGTTTTCATTGTTGACTTGAGAATCCTTCTGCGGCAAGTTTGCATATATACATTCTCCATCTTGAAGCTGATGAAAAATACAAATCGATCAAAGACTTACCCACACCCACACACACACATATATGAATATACACAATGTTATCAAATAACCACTATGATGGAATCGCGGAGCGGTCTCCTGGAAAATTGCCATTTCCCATCCATTATTTGGCATTTTATGGCAGCATCCACCATATCCGCCATGGCCATCATGCCATAAAGGTTTATGGCAGTCACGGCAGATATCACAGTTTTTTATTAAAAATACATTTTAGGGTTTTTAACCTAGGCCTAACCCATTTTAAAAAAAAAAAAGAAACAAATCTACTTTGAACATGAAACACTATTGCTCCCAACCCCGAACGTTGTTGCTGCCCTAGGGTTCTCTGAACCTTCATTCAACTTTGGTGACTTGAACCATAGTAGCTCCTCACTCCAGCGAACTTTGGAGTGAGGTTTCTGACCTAGGCCCAACCCATTTAAAAAAAAAAAAAGAAACAATTTTGCTTTGAACACAAAACACTATTGCTCCCTACCCCGAAGGTTGTTGCTACCCTAGGGTTCTCTGAATCTTTGTTCAACTCTGGCAACTTGAACCACAGTAGCCCCTCACTCCAGCGAACTTTGGAGTGAGGTTCAAGATAGGTTCTTTTTTTTAGTTTTTTTATTCCTTTCTTTTTTTTTCTACTTCCTCCTCATTTGTTCAACGAATCTTCATCTATTTTGTTCAATTTGAGTTCCCATTCTTTATCTTTTATTCTTCTCCTTCATCTAACCTCATCTCCTTCATTTGTTGGGTCCAGTTTGAGTTCCCATTTTGTTCTAACATCAAAAATTACATAGAGGAAGATGAGGTGAATTATGATTTATGAGGATGAGAAGGATGATTAAAATTAAATTAATAAAACATGTCTTGTTGTCTTTCAACATTTTTTTTGTATTTTAATCAATTATATTACATAGAGGAAGATGAGGTGAATTATGAGGATGAGAAGGATGATTAAAATTTTATTTGTAAAACGTCTCTTGCTGTCTTTCAACATTTTTGTTGTGTTTTAACCAATTATATTTATGAGACTTAATGAATTATGATATTATTGTTTTGATATTTAACTATTTAAGTTGATATTCTATTATTTTTAATTTACTTTTGCTTTTAAAAACCGGCTCAGAGTGGTTTGACCAGAAACCAGTGGTATGACCAGTCCAAGCCTGTAATTGAATCAGAGATGTCACTGACCCAGTGTAAACCCGGGGTCAACTGGACGATTTTCCAGGACTTTCTTGATTTTCGTGAAGTGCAACCAACACGATGGTGAATCATATCATCTGTTTTTTTATAAAAATACAGTAATAATAAAAAGATGAAAAGTGGGAAGGAATCAAACCCACATGCATTTGGTTATTTAGAGGTTCAATAACCAAACCACAAGCTTAATTAGCATGTGTGCAACTTATTTTATTATTATGTCTTTAATTTAAAATTTATAATTTAAGTATTTAATTATATATATATATATATATATATATATATATATTAATTCATGCATGGAGACATTAGGATTGTTCCTAACATTTTGTGGGCCCAAGGCAATATAATAGATAAAGACCCCTTATTTATAAGTATTTCCAAAGTTAAATATGTATTATACAAAAAATAAACATGTAATTTCAATAAATAAATAAATAATTTACACGATGTGAACAAGATTTTAACAAATCTATAAAAATATGTATTAAAACTTTTTTCTTTTGAAAAACTCTTATGCTATCTTTTATCATCAACAAAATACGTTTTCTAAAATTTTTGTGTTATGCATCAGCTATAGAACAAAACACACAATTTATCATGAGTGCCCCTTATAATTTGGTATGTGAAAAATATAATCCTCTTATGTTTTATGTCTTTTTATATAGAAAAAAATTATATTTGTTATCACAAATTTAGAAAATGATAAAAAGTTTCTTTAATGTTTTAGAAAAAATAAATGTTTAATCAGTTAATTAGAATTTGTGGTTAACTAATTAAAAATTGAACAAGAGACAAAACTAAAGAGATAAATGCTAGCAATACACTCTCTAACACACTTTAATTGGTTGAAATTAATTGAAAAACACAAAATTTAGTGAGTCTTCCATCCTATTTATTGACTCTTTCTCCTGATTTTGTAGTCATCTATAAGTTATAACCAATAAGATTAGCTATGTTAAGAGGAGTGTGTTAAAGAATGTGTTACTAGCACTCCTTAATTAAGAAACTAACATAAAAGAGGTATTTTTCTTGTTTGAAAAATTGGAACGGTATTTCTATTTTTGGACTCCACCAATGATGGGCCCATGGCAGCTGCCTCTTTTTCCAACCCTCAGGCCGGTCCTGGGAGGTTGGGAGACATTGTATTGTTTAACATATTAGTGACCACTAAACCAATATATTATATTATTATATAACTAATTTAAATAGTTTATATAGTATAATTTAAATTTAAAATTACATTCAATTATATATTAATTTATGAAGTTTAACTTGTCTATAATTTGATTGTTCTATGAGTTAATCACCTATACACTGTCAGTGTAAAGTTTTTTTACACTCGCAACCAATATATCTTTTAATTGTGTCATATCACTGTTAAAAGTAAATGTGTTTATAGTGACATGGCACAATTAAAGGATATAATTGATTGCCAGTGTAAAGTTTCTTTACACTGGCAGTGTATAGGTGATTAACTATTGTTCTATTAGTATTATATTAACTATAATCTTTGAGTTTTTTTAAGAAATAATATGAATTTTATTGAAGTATGAAATATATGTGACATGAATATTTTTTTAAAAAATTCAATAGAGACCAGATCATGCAATTTAATTAGTAATCTACTAATTAGACCTCTGAGCGATTTTGCTGACCAGTCTACTTTTAAAAAACATTGTTACCGATAACTGCCTAACACCCTTCAAAAAACTAACTGGTTATGTTATGATCCTAACTTCTAACTGAAGCTGACTGATTTAGTTGCAGATAACTTCTTATAGAAGCTAACTACTTGAGTCACCGAATCACATCACGTGCATGATACTAACAAAGAGGAATAAATAAATCCAACCAACCTCAGTTGCAGAAGGATTACAAGACTCCCTGACAGTAGCATTATAATCCAACCTGCAAAGAAAACAAATTAATTAGGCCTGAAACCTAATACACCAAAATGCAAGTAAATCATCATGCAGTGGTCAACAAATACAAGGTGCAGATGATACAATTCCTGCAAATGATTACATCCACATGCTTTTACATATTTCTGCAATCAAATGTAGAATTAGCAAGGGTTTGGGGAATAGAAACCAAAGGAACACTTTAGAGCTGCAGATGACTTGTGGCGAAGGAGAAATCAGACTTGAGGTAATTGGTTAAAAAACCCAACACCATCCAAAACCAACATGTTTGACTACACAATCTAAAAGGACGAAAAATGCTTATTAGAGATATACTCGATGCATTTCACATGCATTTGTAATTTCAACTAGTACAGCTATAACAGATTTAGTTATCCAGTTTTCAGTTAGAATTCTATTACCTCTTATAATTATCTGCTGAGTCAGCAGCTATTTCATACAAAATTCTAATATCACTATGCTTTGAACATAATGCTATTCTAAAAGATTTTCAAATTTCTCTGTGTCAACTCTCTTTTCTCTCTTTCTCTCAGCAATCTCTTTTATCCTTGTTGCAAATCTATCATGGTATCATGAGCTTGTAGTGGATCTAAGCCATGGCTTGTCCACATAATTCAGTCTTCAACCAGGAAAATCACGCATCCACCACTTTTTTCACCAAATAGTCAATTTGTCCTAGTCCGTCCTTGTTCAATCTAGACTTGGACGTGCTTTTCAAGGGCATACAAAAAATAATTATTCCTAATAGCATGTTTTTTGCAAATAATATAGTCATGATAGATGAATCAAGAGAAGATTTTATGTAGGAGTAAGACAGAGTATATGCATTGCAATATTAGCAAGAGCAGCATAGGCAGCTTCAATACAAAGATTAGAGATAAGATTAATTTATTTATCACATACCCGACCAAACATAATCTTTGCAATAAGTTTAGTGAGTCAATTAATGCACTCACTGCATGAATAATGCATTGAGGCAGTGTAAAAAATTGATGCATTTAAAAAGTGCTCTAGCCTCTAGGAAGAGGACTATTTTTTGAGAAAACTAGGCAGTAAAGCATTGAAGTGTTAGGGATGTGGACTGGACTGGATGCATTACTGACCAAAAGTCAACATCTAGCTATTGTACATTTGTTATAGAAATTTTTGGTTACTTGGAGAAGCAAAAAACACAAAGTAGTGGCTTGTAGTGCAGAGATTGAATATAGGGCAATGGCAGGAGTTTGTGAAATTTTGTCTTAAAAGGATTCTAGAAGAGTTACAACTTCCTATGACTCTACCAATGAAATTGTACTGTGATAATAAGGTTGCAATTGGTATTTCCCACAATCAAATTCAACATGATCAAATCAAACAGAAATTCACAGACATTTTATAAAAGAGAATGTTGATGCAGGCCAAATTTCCCTGATGTTTGCTCCTACATCACCACAAGTGGCAAATATTCGTAAAAAATGACTATTTAGACCTATTTTTGAATTCTTGGTCAGCAAGTTGGGCATGTTGGACATCAATGCAGTAATGCACCAACTTGAGGGGGGTATTGATAGCTGAATGTACTTTTATTAAAATTTAAATTTAGGTAGTTAATATCGAAATCAGATTTAATCTGATTTGGTTTAATTCTTGTTATTATAGGAGATTTAGTTAAGATCAACATTAGATTATTAAGCTCGGATTTGATTCTCCTTTATTTTCTTACTATCTTATCTTTATATTTATTTAGTAAGCATGTTGGTCAGGAGTTCTTCTAGTCATCCTTGCCTATATAATTCTCTAGCGTAATTCTAACCAATTTGCAAAAATATAGATCATTTTCTTCTCTAAAATTACACAACTAATGTACAACTGTAACAGAATTAGTTTTTTGGGTTTTCTTTGGGATTCTGTTACATGTCATAACTATATGCTGAGTCAGCAGTTAGTCATACAGCTATGTCATATAAATTCTAATATCATGTACTTTGAACATAATGGAATTCTAACAGATTCTTAAATCCCTCTCACTGTTCAACTCATAGCTATCTCTTTTATCCTTGCTACAATTTTATTCTATAAATGCTTAACATGAAATATCAAGCACAATGTGTCATATGAATAATATAATAAAAGAGAGGTGTTATATGATTATGATTCATCAATCATGAATTTGAAAATACTCTAGAAAATAATATAATAACAGAGATGTGTCATACTAAGTCAAGAATAATGAAATATATGACATTGTTTCCCACCATTTTCCAACAAGTAAAAAGTACCTCATTCGTTTGGAACATGGACCGTCCATCCCCATAATATAGCCACCTGGCTGAGAAGGGCTACTACCATCAGGAATCAGGTTGCAGTTGTCACCCTTAGCCAACATGGCAGAGACACCTGATTCTGTGTCCACTGTGATTCCCTTTCTCTTGGAAGGTACTAATTTTTCACCATTACTATCATGCCCAACACTGTTCCTGATTAAGTCTTCATCCAATATGGAATTGCTTGATGGTAACATCTTTAATGTTTCTTTTCTGCAACCATCAGGCTGAACCGTTTCAGGTACCAAACCAGTCTCATAAATTGCCGCATTAGATGGCCTGTCAATCCCCATAGTATTGACACCTAGCCTTGATGGGCTACCATCAAGATTCAAGTTGCAGTTGTCATCCTTCGCCAATGTGGCAGAAACATCCAAATCCACATCAACAGTGGTTCCCTTCCTCTTAGGAGGTATTGATTTTTGTCCTTTATCATCCCCCACACTGTTCCTGATTAAATCTTCATCCAATATGGAATTGCTTGATGCTAACATCTTTAATGCTTCCTCTCTGCAACAATCAGGAAGAATGCTTTCAGGTGCCAAACCAATCTCGGAGTTAGTGGCATTAGATGGTGCCAATGAACCTAGAGTCACAGTATTTTCAACCAGATCTTTCACAGGCTCACTCAACCCAGAATCAACTCTCATCTCTTTTGATTTTCCATCTTCAGATGATAGCACACCATTCTTGGAGACCTCTTTGCAATCAGAACGACTCCCTTTAGAGCACTCATCAATCTTGCCTCCACCATTGTTGCCACCTTGATTTGACTTATCAATCCTATTAGCCTCTGCAACACAATCTTTTTAGTCAAGTAATTAAAAATAATATATTAATATAAATAAAACCTAATAATAATTAGCATGCCTCACTTGATAAAAGTTTGACTTATCTTCATTTTGATGAAAACAAAAAAGCCAACAAGAGACTTATAGAAAGGCCTAGCATTACCAGCACCTTTAACTAATTTTTTTATTACATGGCAGTGCACATAATGTTAATCATCAAATTAGCACTGCCTTTTATTACATTTAGATATGTAACAAAACTCATGGCTCAATAAAGGAAAACAAAATTGTGGAAGTAATAATGACATTAGACAACTCACTATTACCTTTCTTCAGTGATGGAAAGAATGACCGATACATCTGAACAGTCATTCTCTTTATTTTATCCTGGGGTGTTCGCAGATCATGTTCTTCATTTTCATTTACTTCCTCAGCTTCAAATGACAACTGTCTCACACTCTTCTCTTTTTTTGGCTTAGGGTTTGAACTCAATGACCCTGCGGAAGAGTGACTCCTAGTTCTTCCGGATCTTCTCGTAGGACTTGGCATCTTCTTCTTCTTTTTTACCCTTTCAGATTTACTATTAACAGCAGGAGTCAATGGTGCTCTCTTTACAGGACGCCCAGACTTACAAATACTTAAAGGGCTAGGTCCACCAGGACTTATCTTCTTTGATGATGTCTCTCTAGGAGACCTTCTGAGACTAGCTGTATCTGATACATTAGAATGTGATTTGACTTTTCCTTTCTCACCATTTTGCGTCACCCTCCCATTATTATTTCCTTCATCCTTAGCCCTGTGACTAGACCGAGTACTATTTGCCATTTGTTTATCGGAACATTGTGTGTGACCTACAGAATAATACTTTAGATCAGTATAGAGACACAGAAACTATCACACAATCCACAAATGTCATTCGGCATGTGGCAAACTTCATGAAGATATGAAGTACCCTGCACAGTACCAATTGAGAAGGACAATAAAAAGGATATTATCAAATGAAACTCAGCTATTTATCAATATTCAAGACGGAATTGTGGAAAACAAATGAAGCAATAATATTGACCTGTGTTAAGACACAGGCACCAGAAATATGCATCAACAGAATTCAACCATTATCCACCAATTGAAAATAAAATAAAAAAAACCTCTGTTTGCTCAGGTAGTACAAGGGAAAAACACTTATCTCAAAAACTAACGCAACTAAAATAAGTGAGTAACTGTCGACTTGTAAGGAATATATCAATCTCCATAAGACAGATTATCCCAACCAACACAGATACAATAACCCTTGCAAATGCAGATTGAAAAACGAACAAGATAAAAAAGAAACAAGCGGAATACGAACATGTAAGAATAAAAACGTCACGCATAAAAATATAGATATTGCATGACCGCTTCCAATCATCCCATGGCAAATCAAGCAAGCATACGAAATTTATTGCTTAAAAATTTCCAGAAATTTCGAGTGCCTTGAAAAACGGAACGCGCATTCTGACTGATATTAGGAAGATTGATTAAAATGCAGCCAAATCAAACAGAACGGAATGCTAACAAATTCGGAGGGTTTCACCTTTCAATGGAAAATCAGAATTTCAAACCAATGCAAATATCGCTGCACACTCGCCACAAATTATTCAAACCAACCCTAATTTACAGAATTGCAGAGACGGTGATCACACAGCAACGTAATGGAGAGTTCACAAGGTTAAAAAAACTAGAGTAATACAAGTATATACATATAACGAATAAAACCAAACAGTAACAGTAAACAACCTTCATGAATCGATTGAAGAAGGCGAATTTTGAGAGAGAGAGAGAGGGAGAGAGAGAGAGAGAGGGGAAGGATTTTAGAGTCGAGCAGTGTATCAGAAAAAATTAATTATGGCGCTGTATATTCCGAATTTCTGATATAACAAGAGAAATTTCGAGAGGAACACTTACATTTAACATATTTGTTTACCGCAATAATCTCATTTCTTTCTTTTTTTGTTGAGAAAAATTCATATTGGGCCATTAAATAAAAATAGAATCTCACGAGTAAAAGACATATTAGAGCGTGTATTTTTTATAAAATAGATTCTATTTTTTTGATAAATCATAATTTTATGTGTAAGTCGGAGATTAAATTGAATCCTTATATTAGTTAAATGGTTGATGTGTTAAGGTCCCCAAGTCTTTAATTCTCTTATAATTGAAATTCAAATAGCTTTATTAGTAAATATTTTTGTTATGTTTTTTTTCTCGTGATTTTTAGTTTGAACATATAGTTTCTTGTTACATAAAAAGTATCGTGTATTTTTTAATAAATAGACATAATTCTTTTTTATCATGTGGATTATATTTTTTAATAAATCATAATTTTATGTATAAGTCAAAGATTAAATCAAATTCTTGATTAACAAATATAAATGTCGAGCTATTTATGATAAGGATATTTGATAAACTAAAAATGTGTGATCGTGATATGTGAATTATGAAGAAAAAAAATTGATACTTTTTTATTCAAAATTTTGTTTTACTGAAAGAAATTACTAATAATAATCTTTTATATATATATAGACTATTTAGTAGTATTAATAGATATTACTGTGTTTATAAAATTGTTTAAATTTCTTTTTTTATATATAAATTACAATAACTATCTTGAAAAAAAAATATATATAGTAACTATTATTCACCAAGGACAATTTTAGGTGATTTTCTTCAATGTGAGTAGTCTTAGGATTTTCTTCACCTCTTTTTTTTAGTATATATTTTTTTTTATATTTTATAACTATTTTTAAATTAAATTATTAATAGTTACAAAATTATATTACCATATAAATTATTTATCGTAATTGAAAATATATTTTGTATGTCTAAAATATTTATTTGTTATACATTTAGATTATAATATAATTTATATAAACAAATGTTGTTGTCAACCATTAGGGGTGTGCAAAAAATCCAAATTGATCCGAACCGATCCATAACCGATCCGATCCATATTGAAAAATCCGATTCATTTTGAAAAAAAATCCGAACCGAACCACTTTATAAAACCGGTTCAGTTATCCGATCCATTTTTACAAAGTGGATCAGTTCGGTTCGGTTTGGTTTTCTAAAAAAACCGATCCATATATGAGTAAAAAAGTGGATAACTGCACCGCACCGAACCGATCCAATTTCAAAAACCAAGTTACAAAAAAGGCCTAAAACCTTAGTTTGGAACGGGTCATTCCAGAATAAGCAGTTATGTGTTAAACTCACCTCTGAAACGGGTCGTTCCAAGATACGAAAGTAACACACAACGTACAGATCCAGAACGGGCCGTTCTAATTTTGGAACGGGCCGTTCTGGCCACTTTCTGATGTCTATAAATAGCATACTCAGACATAATTCTCAAGGCCACAAAATTTTGTCTAAGACTCCTTAGAGCTCAAAATTTCTGTCTAACCATAGTTATAGGTAATTTACGTTGCACCGCTCTTTTTGATCATTGGATTTATTTGACTCCTACGTTAACATGGTCTCTTTCAATACCAAGTTGATTTTTTCTTTTCCTTATTTCACTACAATCTCCCATAGGCAACCTGAAAAATGATCTCCCTTCTCTTATAATGGTGGCGCAAGTGGAGAGGAGCGGAGGGATAGGGAGGAGGAGGAAGAGGCAATAGAGAGAGAGGAAGAGGCAGCAAGGGGGGCATTTTAGGAAACCAAAGTCCCAATGAGCAAAGCGTTTCGACGTACACACTCTCACATGGCATTCCATCGAATATTTTGTCTGTCTCCTAAATCCTAATGACCCACACGCGATTTACATGTGAACCAACTATGTGCGCAAGAAAATGTTGTTTCACCCTATGTTTGTTTCTATTGATTTGGAGACAAATGATTTTAAAATAGGTGGAAAAAAAAGATAGGAAAAATAAATTTGAATGGTTTAGGGTTTTGTAGCAAGGTTTTGTTGGAATCTCGTGAGTTGAGGGGTGCTTCATCAAGGAAGGAAAACACGTATAGGATAAAAGATAGATGTGATGGTAATGATTTGAGAATTGTTTTGATTGATAAAATGAGAACGATTATGTGCAATTGCAAGGTGATATGTATTATTGAGGGGAAGAAGGTGAGAATAACGAAGTGTGTTGTTGCTCACCATTCACCAACATATGGGGGACTAAAAGTGTTTCCAATGTCATGCAAGGGGAGCAGATTGCAACTGGATGGCCATCTTGGCTAACAACAGTGGCTGAAGAGGCTGTCAAGGTTGCTTATTTTTTAGACTTGCTTTTTTACCTCATGTAAGCCCCCTGTTTTTGTTGGTGTGTTACACTTCCTTAGTTCATATTATTTTTAAGCTTTATTAAGAAATTAGGGACATATCATTGACATTTTTTCATTAATTAGAATATTAAGTTCTACATTTGATAGTATGCTAAATGATATTAGGGACATATCATTGATCTTTATGACAAACATTTTATTCATTGTACAGATGAAAAACAAATTTAATGAATGGTGATGGGTTATAACTAGAGTTTAATCAAAAAGACCAGATTCAAGGAATTTGAAAAGACTATAAATTTCAAGTGTTTTTATTTAAGATGCATCGATTTGTCTAACTAAATAGTTTCATTTCTCACCAACCAATGACTTGAATTCAAACATATGTAAGTTAAAAAATGTTAGACATTCCATGGGTGAGTTGGACCTACATTTTGTTCATTGTACAAATTGAAAGACAAATCAAATGAATGGTGTGATGGATTGTTAAGTTATATGATGTTAAAGTTTATCATTTTATATTATTATATTGAATATTTATGTTTTCTTTTTGGCATGTTTTATTTTTATAATGTAAAAAACAAAACTTGAAAGAAATTATAATATTATGTGGACATTAAGCATGCTTCTTACAAAAGTGAGTTAAGAGTCTAACTCAACCTTATAAATTTCGCTTATAATGTGAGGATTACTCTTCACTTATGTATACTAATATGGTCTTTAGGGGTGGGTAGACGGACTCGGGTCCGCGGACCGGTCCGTAAGTCCGCGGATTTCGCGGATAACGGACCCGTTTTTTTCAAATCCGTATGACTATGTCTAATTTTTGAGCCCGGCCCGTGAAGTCCGCGGACTTAGCGGATTTAATCCGCGGGCTCGCGGGCTAGTCCGCGGACTTCACTAATTAATATTTTTAAATATTATGATTTTAATATTAAGTTGTGTATTTAATTTTTTAAATTATTATGACATTAAAATTATGTTTAGTTGGTAGGTATTTGTCATTTGAATTACTTTTATGACATTTTGATGCTTTTATTATTGAAAGTTTGGTACTATTATTTAAGTATTTGTAATTATTTTTATTTTAATATTTTAATATTTAGTATTTTAAACCATTTTAACTATTGATAAATTTTAGTATGATAAAATTTAGCTTATAAATAAAAAATATTTTTTTCTTCTAATTTTATGTATTTTTATTTTTTAAAATTTTATTTTTTTGAACCATTATTTAGGCCCGCGGACCGGTCCGTTATCCGCGGATTTTGGCGGGCCGGATACGGACTTAAAAAATAAGTCCATTTATTTTACGGACCGGACTTATCCGGCCCGTATAAAACGCAGGTTTTACGGACCGGGCCTTAAACGGGCCGGACCGGTCCATATACCCACCCCTAATGGTCTTATTTCAAGACGATATAGGATTTTTAACACTCAACATGAAGTTTGTAGGATTGAGCATCTACAAATAGTTCGATAATGATACAATAGTGAATGACACGATAGGTCCAACAACAATCAATAATCATTAGAATATAGGCTCGATACTATCTGCTAGTTATTGAGTATTTATTTGTGTATAAATTCAAATATGTTTTCATATTCATAATCATTATTTTCTTCACTGCATTAATTTATGTTGTTTATTGATCAAAGTGAGTTTGTTGTTTAATATTATGTTATATATTTGTCAGTTATTCAACTATATGTTTAGTCTATTGAGAAGACAAGTGCAAAGCTTAGGTACACTAGTGAAGATAGTGATTATATCATATATGTATAAGAGGAGAGTTGAGGACTCTTCGACATTATCACAAGCATAAGAAACAAATACAGAAGTCATCGACCCATTACAATGGCTCATACAAATTGATAATTCAAACATTAACACTAATGGACCTTATGATGGGCCTACTTATGGGCCCAAGCCCATTTAAGTCGGTATAAATAATCATGATTAGTGACATAAAAGGTACATTCCCATTATTACTAGAATTAACTGTCATTGACCTGTCTGACTTCGAATACTAACTTGAGCGTTGGAGTGTCTTTTGCAAGTATCACTCTATCCTATTTGCACAAATATGACCAAAGCTATGAGTTGGGAAGGACAGGTAAGCACTGCTTAGACAAAAACAGAAAAAGAAGGATAAGAATGATAAAATTATTGAAATACCCTTGTGCAAGTACAATGATGATGATTACTATAAAAATTCATATAGTAAAGAAAACAATGATTGTGAATATGGAAAAGGACTAAATTTATAACACATAGAAATACTCAACATCTAATAAATAATTTTGGAGTCTATATTCTAACGATTATTAATTATTGTTGGTCTTATCATACCACCCACTATCAAGTCATTATCAAATTACTTGTAAGTGTTTAATCTTATAAAGTTCACGTTGAGTGTTGAAGATCTCACATTGTCTAAAAATAAGACTATAACAATATATATAAGTGAGGACCAATTTTTATTTTACAATTCAATTTTGTAAAATTGAGTTAGACATTTAACTAATTTTCTTAAGATGAATTCATGTGATCTTTTAACCAATAATCATGGTTTGAATTTATGGGTTGATCTTCTAATATTTTCATTGATTCATAGGATAAGCATTTAATTACAT